GGCGCACAAAAAAAAAAGGGGGGGGGGGGGGGGGAGTAGAGTGTAGGCTGGAGATGGACAAACACATCTTAGAAGAGGCAGCAGGAGCGTAGCCCCAGCTGCAGCTTTGGGCTGCACCACAGGCTAGTGCCTACTTAGAAGATCCGTGAACTTTAACCACCACGCTGGGCTTTCCTTGATATGGATACTGCCTGCTGTACACCTAGGGCTTGCGCTGCATTATCAACTCATATTGATTATGATTAAGTTGCTTAAGGGGTGGAAAGTCCAACCTGAATGAGGTTGTTATATTGACCCAACCCCCCTGTGTAGCCAGCACTCTATTGACAGGAGGGCTTCTCCCAATGACATAGCTACTGCCTATCACTGAGGCTATGTCTAGACTTCACGCCTCTTTCAAAAGAGACTTTTTCGAAAGAATCTTTCGAAAAAGCCTCTTTCGAAAGAGAGCGTCTAGACTGCAATCTCTTCTTTCGAAAAAGTGAGCCACTTTTTCGAAAGAGAGCACTCAAGCAGTCTGGATGCTCTGTTTCTCAAAAACCCTGTTTGCATTCAAGAACACCTTTTTTCGAAAAAACACGTTCGAAAAAAGGCATTATACCTCATGAAATGAGGATTACCCCCATCGAAAGAAAAGCCACGTTCTTTCGATTTAATTTCGAAAGAATGTGGCTGTAGTCTAGACGCAGGGGAAGTTTTTTCAAAAAAAGGCTACTTTTTTCGAAAAAACCCTGCAGTCTAGCCACAGCCTGAGGTGGATAAACTCCATCGATAGTAGCATCTTGCCTATTGGAATAATCATGTCTTCACTGAAACATTACAGCTGTAGACATGCTTTTATATAGCACTCTACATCCTAGGGATGTTTGGTATCCTTATCCCTGTTTCACAGATTGGAGGTACTTTACAGGTAAGTACTGAGCAGTGAAGTGATTTATTTATGGCCTGTTTGTCTAAACTGGAGTGAAAATTCTGGAGCTCTGGTAACTTATTTTAGATGCTGCCTAGTGGTCTTGTTGCTTTCTCACAAAGGGACTGTTAGCAAGATGCAGAATAGATACAAAAAGCAGACCCTGCCAACCAAAACAGGACACTGGCATTTTGAAGTGAGCAGTGCCAGGTAAATGAAGTCAGAATGTGGAGGAAGTCCCGGATTTTGAATGTCTGGTGAAGGTATCCTTTTGTCCTTCATCCTCAACATATATTAGGGATACTGAGTGTTTCAAGGGATGACCTTTACTTCAGCATTGCTACACTGTCCAGTCTGACTAAGGAGCTGAAATCACTGGGCTCTGATGGTGTCAGCAGACGGTCAGGGCAGTGTGTGTGGGTGTGTCTCCTAAGTCTTTAGCTGCTAAGACACGAAGTCTCGTCGCAGCGGGCAGCCCAGAAGGCTGAAAGGAGCCCCGAGAGTTTAACGTCCGTGACTTTACTGCTAGGACCGAGGTCCCGTCGCAGAGGGTAGCCAAACAGGCTAACAGACGTCCCAGTGTGTAGGAAGAGCTTATTACACTTCAGATTTTAGCTGCTAGAACACGGGAGAGGGGGGACATAATTAGTGGCTTGTTTTTCAAAAACATTGGGGGCTTAGAACCAAATCCCATTGTTGCAGGCAGACCGGCTGAAGTTCTTTTAAATTGTGCTTGGTTCTGTTACAGCAACTGAAAGAGTCAGGTTAAAACTTAAACAGTTACAGGTTTATTGAGGAAGCTTATAAATCATATGGTTGCAATGGCTATTGTTCTATTTCTTAACTGCTAGCAAAATATAGATCTTAAAAATGGTTACAAAGAAGATAGATAGAAAAATAGAAATAATGGTACCAAGTAACAGCTTACTCTTTCTATGTGTACACTTAAGACAGAGGACCACATCCAGGTACAATTTTTACCCCCTTCTGTGCGTCTCGACTCCAGCATGTCAGGCCAGGGCCGGTCCCTCAATTCCTAGGAAAGATGAAAATACGAGGTGGGCGTCCCTATAGAACCTCGGGAGGTCAAACACCTAACCTGACCAGCAGGTAGAGGGTAGAATGACACTCAAAGTGAGTGTGTGCTGAACCCATCTTTTATACCCATTTTGGGTCACGTATTTCTCTTTTTTTATCTGTGATGCCAAATAGTGCTGGTCTCCCTTTTGTGAGACCAATTCTTACAAGGGAGTTGTGAACTTAATTTACACTTGTAAGAGAGATAACTAAATTGGAATTACTGGGGGATTCTTTTCTCAGTGGGAAATTCCTCTCCCAGGGACTGTGTGTGTGTTCGAATCAACATGGGTGCCAGCTGGGGCAGTTCTCACAGCCTCGAGGCCAGCTTATTGACTTAATTGCTCTCTCTCTCCACATATCTGTTTTTTCAGCTTCTCAGGATCAGATGAGCCAGCATAGACTATGCTGATTTTACTGCTCCTTCTCTGCCCTGTATGCTTCAGAGAGGCAAATAAGATGGATGATATGGGGGGTTGGTGTGTCTGGCTACAGATGGCTGTACAGGTGGCTCCTGTGAAATGAGTTTGGTTTCAGTCCAGTTTCCAAATTCTTGGCACTGAGACACGCTTGTTCATAGCCTCAGCAAACACTAGTCAGGGAGATCAAACTGTCTTTCCTCCCCTTCTAGACCAGGACAGAGACACAAAGAATTGGTAAGGTAATGTGGGGAAGCTTGCATTGCCACAGCCTGGGCTCTATCGTGTCCATAAATAAAAAGGATATTATTTTCCATGGAGGGCAAGCCACTGTTAAATTCACACTTACCAAAACCCAGAACGAAAGCAAAGGTACTTTCTCCACCTTAAATATAACATTGCAAAGGTAAACTAAGATTGACCTGAGATGAAGTTTTTATTGAATGGAAATGGGTTACATCCTTAGTGTAGCTTAGAGGAAAACATCTTACCTGAGTATTTTAATATAAAATAGTCTCTGAGTAAACTTCAGTTTCAGTCTCCCTGTTGGCATTTGTACTAAATGTAAGTGATTTTTTTTCCCCCTCAGGTATCAGTAATTAACACTGTGGACACTTCTCATGAAGATATGATTGTAAGTATTTATTTAAAAAAAAAAAAAAAGCTGAGAGTTTTGCTTTACTGAAGAAAAATTATTTTGATTTTTTTTTTAAATTGTGGTAATGGGGAAAATTCAGCTGTCAGTTACCTGTGCAATTCCGATTACTTCAATGAGTTTATCTATACAGCACCTTCTAGTTACAGCTTGTGTGTGTAGGTGGTAGGCACAAGGAGGTATGGGGATGTTACAGCTCTGGGTGGAAGAAAGCAAAAGACTCAGTTTGGAGTTGGCTGAAGGAGAAACAATTTAGAGCTCTCATTCTGATGTCTGGGACTTGCTACTGTGAAACAAATAAACAAAAAAACCCCTAAGAACGTAGGCTGTTGCTTGGAGAACACAGAAGAATGAAATTGAGAGAGTAGTGTGTGCATGTATACTTAGAAAAGGAATATAACACTTCAGCATGTGAGTCTTCCACCCCAAAGAACAGCATCTTCTCTCAGTAAGTACGCTTCCTTGGTGCTTTATATGGAAGGATGTCAAAGTGACTTACAAACATTGATTAATGAAGCTTGAGTACATGGGTATGGTAGGCCAGCATTTAAAAAAAATATTATTTTATAAAGAGGGAAGCTAAGAATGGGGCAATTAAGTAGCTTTGCACAGGACTACAGCATCAGTGGCAGAGAATGGAGCCTCAGAGTACCATCTTTCTATCCATTGCTCTAACTTTTAGGCACTATTTATTTTTACTGTAGTGGGGTGATATACCTGTCAGAGAAATATGAAATAGCTATTAAAAGACAGATATTAAAAGTAATTCTTGACTAGATAGTGCAAGAAAAGTATCTCTGGAGAATGAAATGTTGTATGTGAATACAATAATATATAAGCTATGTAGCTTTTTTGTCCTCCTGTTCTTTGACTTGATCAGTGGTCCTCAATTCTTACAGCTACTTGTAAAGCACAAAATCCATCATATGCATACTCTTGCTGTGTTAATAAATATGTTAACAGAAGTCTCCATTACCTTTCAGCATGATGCTCAAATGGATTATTATGGTACTCGATTAGCAACCTGCTCCTCTGACAGATCTGTAAAAATCTTTGATGTAAGGAATGGAGGGCAGATCCTCATAGCTGACCTGAGAGGGTGAGTACATAAAATGAAAAAGAATTGCCATTAACTAATTAATGAATTATTGGTATGATATTGTCTGGTGTGATAGTTCTGGAATTATTTTTGCAGGATATTACAATACTAATTAACCATAAATTCCTTTATTAAATCAAACGACTGACTGGTATTTATATTGTTGCTATAAATATGCCTAATCAGTGTAAATAATAAGTAACTTACTACATCCAAACAGTAAAGAACATTTATCAGCCTTTGATCAAAATTCTTACAAAAGGGCTAAACCAATATAGGTCTCAGTCCCACTGGGTTATCTCCAGCATGGTTAGGCAGGTATTGAACCCTTTATTTTTTTTAATACCCTCCAAAAAACTAGATGTCAATGCCTATAACTGTCTGCAGCTAAAAACCAGTTTGAAATAGTTCACCCTTATTTTCAGTTTTATTGTAGGTAAGATTTACAGCCCCCTTTTCTCTGTACTACTTCTCCCTCCTTGCTGACCAACATTTTGTTTTGTTTTTCTCCTTTTCAGCTGGGGTCATACAGGCTCTAATTTTTTTAGATAAAACTTGTATGTGGGATAAGAGAGTCCGTGTTGACTCTATTTTTAAGACAGATTCTCTTTGTCTTATTGCACAGTCAGTCCTATCTGCTAGAGGCCTTATTTCATGTGTTATTCTTTGAACAAGACCTCCTCTGTGTTTGCTTCTGGGCTTATAACTAATTTCTTTCAAGGCCTTTCTTTTACTTGCTAGTTCGGGTTTTCTTTACAGCCCGTATTTCTTTAACCAAACTTAAGCCAACTTTAATTTGCTAATTTTTTATTTTACTGATAAGGTCTTTAAAAAAAAATTGTGCATAATAATTCATACCCGCCCTATGCAGTCTACACCATAAATTCCCCCTTGGAAGTAATTACTCTGTCTTAAACTTTCTGGCTGTGTCTAGACTGCCAAGTTTTTCCGCAAAATCATCTGATTTTGCGGAAAAACTTGCCAGCTGTCTACACTGGCCGTTTGAATTTCTGCAAGAACACTGACGATCTCATGTAAGATCGTCCGTGTTCTTGCAGAAATACTGTGCTGCTCCCGTTTGGGCAAAAGCCCTCTTGCGCAAATCATTTGCGCAAGAGGGCCAGTGTAAACAGCATAGTACTGTTTTCCGCAAAAAAGCCCCGATCGTGAAAATGGCAATCGGGGCTTTTTTGCAGAAAACCGCGTCTAGATTGGCCATGGATGCTTTTCCGCAAAAAGTGCTTTTGCGGAAAAGCGTCCTGCCAATCTAGACGCGATTTTTCTGGAAATGCTTTTAACGGAAAATCATGCCAGTGTAAACGTAGCCTCCTTGAATTACTGAGAGTGAGGAAAGAAACCAAGGTAAAAATAACTTGCTGCTTTTTAAAACAATGAAACCTTTATCTCAGGTATTCTAGAAATAAATGTGTTCTTAGTAGCTGGTGTATGAATGAATATTTCAGATTTCATCTTAAGCAGTAAGTCCAAGTTGCTCCCTTCGTTGTTTTCCCACTCTCCTTGTGACACTATGAAGGTCTCAGGTGGTCACTACTTATGAAAAAAATTACTTTGTGATTTGCCTGCTGTTAAACAGGCAAGATTGAAAGTAGTTTCTTTTCTTCAAAGGACGTGCACTCTCTCTCTCTCTCAACTCATGTTGTTTCTTTTAGCCATGAAGGTCCTGTGTGGCAGGTCGCTTGGGCTCACCCTATGTATGGAAATATTCTGGCCTCCTGTTCCTATGACAGGAAAGTTATTGTCTGGAAGGAAGAAAATGCCACTTGGGAAAAAACATATGAGTACACTGGGCATGACTCCTCAGGTATGTGGAGTGTTCTAGCCCTGCAAATGGGCAGAGGGGATCGTTTTATGTGAACAAATCTTTTTTTGTTCATCTGTCATATAACAACGTGTATGTTCTTTGACAGTCTTGGGTGTTGGAAGGTGACTAGGGTTTAAAATGTTAACGTCATTTTTAGTAAATAAGAAAAAAAGGACCATTTCATAAAATACCATCTTAGACTGACAGTTATACAATATAGTGCTTCCTTTTCTATGTGGTCAATCTCTGGCTTGATAGTTCATTATATGGATGTACTGTATGCTATGAGATGTCACACAAACTAATCCCCAGCTTACCAAGCCTACCATCAGATCTTGCTAGATGAGTATAATACAGAACATGACAAACATAATGGTACATGGTAACTATAGGAGGAATGCTTTAACTGGGGCTGTTTTATGGTGCTTTTTTTATGCAGAAGGTGTTCTCTGAGGGTGGCAGGCCCTTATGGATCTGAACTGAATCATCAACCTCCCTTTTCAAAAAGCCCTCAATGCTCTGGGTATCTGTACTCAGCTTCCAGAGGAAGAGTAGAAAAGGTTTTGTGCCCAATCAGGTTTAGCCTGAGTAAAGACTACAGTATCAGGTTTTCAGTATGTCCCTTTTTTTGTCAAGCCAACTGATGTGCATGTTGGTAACCTGAGGTACTTGCATCTGAGGCTGAGCCTGAAGGAATCCTGCATTAACAGTTTAAGATTCCAGCCCAGTAGCAGAATTACTGTAAACTTACAAAAACTATAAATAAATGTATTTTGTGGTGTTAGCGGTGGTTTTGGTTAAAGAGATCTTTGGGCTCACAATCCATCACCTCCCTCAAGGGATCATCACAAGAAGTGTGTGAACCCCTGCCACAATGGAGCATTATGTGCTGGCCAGGATCTCGCAAGCATTCTTCTCTCCTAGTCTCTGCATCACTCTCATTCTTGGCAGGAAGGAACAGGTTTTGGAACCTGAACGCCATAATTACACCTGGGGTACACTGTGCTCTCATTAAGTACTAGCCTGGCAAAATGAATAAAGCTAAAAGCAAAATAGCTGTTCCATTTGTTTGCATCTGATATTGATGCCTAAAACTCAGCTCCTGGCTGTGTTCTGGGGTTTGTGGTCTGCGGGTTTTTCATACTATGCTTAACAAATACTGGCAGCATTTTTATCTGCAATAAGGACCCTTAAACTGATTAAAAAGGTAACTAACTTAATCTCAGTGCCTTACCTTTGGCTTCCAAAGCATCATACCAGTCAGTCACGAGATAGTAATCCATTCTTCAATGTTTCTGACAGTGAATTCAGTCTGCTGGGCACCACATGACTATGGCTTGATCCTGGCCTGCGGGAGCTCTGATGGGGCCATTTCCTTGTTGAGCTACACAGGCGATGGGCAGTGGGAAGTCAAAAAGATCAGCAATGCACATACTGTAAGTGTATTTCCATAGCTTCGTGAGCATGCATATTGCTCTATAGGCACACAATTGCTGCCCCAAAGAGCTTACAGTCTTAAGTCCAGATGGAAAAAAGTGTAATGACCACACTGCGTAAGGAGGGGAAGCTTCTCAAGATGAAACATGACAGCATCTTTGTTTAAAGTCAAATAAGCGTGAAGCTATTGTACATTGTGGACAGTAAGCTAAAGTGGAAATGAGATAGGATTGAAGGACCAGCTCTTCCCTGTGACTTCAATCACTGCCTTGAACAATAGTCCTTTAAAGCAGCAGTGCTATCCAGCTTTACCTTGTCTTGGTTTATTCAGCCACTTGAATGTGAAAGGTGTAGTTTTGTGCACTAAACCACTTTTTTTCCTTCACCTTCTTGAGCCATCTCAGTAACAGTTCTGTTTGATGCTAGACCATATCTGGACTGCTTGATCATCAGGTGTCAATACAGCATTGTATAGGCAATAAAGTCAGGAGTTATCCCTGTATGCTTGCTTCCTTGAAGCAGTATGGAAAGTAGAGATGGTATCTTTTGTATCCTGAGCATCTTTTTTTAAAGGGTAAGAAATCTAACATTGATATTCTGTCCTTGCATAGATTGGCTGTAATGCTGTTAGCTGGGCCCCTGCAGTTGTACCGGGAAGCCTTATAGACCAGCCATCTGGCCAAAAACCAAACTACATCAAAAGATTTGCTTCGGGTGGCTGTGACAACCTTGTCAAGATTTGGAAGTAAGCATCCCACTGTCTGAATAAGAAACTTGGTTTCTTTCCTCTTCCTACAAAAGGGAAGCTTCTTTGCCAATCCCCCAATAGTCTTTATATGCCATTGTTGGTATCTTAAATATTTTAAGCAATTCCATGTTGCCTTCCATGCTTTAAAAGCTTTTCTCTTAAAGGTTCTGTGACTTTGGCATTTTATTGCATTATTATGCTGATTAATACTCATCACAATCCAGCTTCGCTTTTGTATAGTGAAAAGTAAATATTCTTATTTTTTTAACTTATTTTTCACTGGCTGTGCCCAAAATTGTTGGAATATAATTCCGACTGAGCCAAGAACTGAACAGACCATGGAAACAGAATTATCTTCTTGTCCGTAAAGCAACTCTCTCTAAGTCAGGCCTGTGTTACCCTGAGGGTGAGAAGGGGATGTTTGTGTTGCCAGAATGATGGATAAATCAGACACCCTTTCAGGAATACAGATTGCATTATAAAATAATACTTACCAAAGTGGGAGATGGCAGGCAGCAGCAGAGAGGCTGGGGTTGTTGCTGCTGCTCCTCTTTGCATGAATATGTTTTACAATCCCTTCAGAGAGGAAGATGGCCAGTGGAAGGAAGAACAGAAGCTGGAGGCTCATAGCGACTGGGTCCGAGATGTAGCTTGGGCTCCCTCCATAGGTTTGCCAACGAGTACCATTGCCAGCTGTTCACAGGTAAGACTCTGAGAAACATGCTGGACAGTGCCCCCCCCATTTTAAGATTGCTGTGCAGAATGAAAGGTAATCAAGTATAAGACGAAAAAGTCATTTTGCCAATCCACTATTCTAGATTACTGTGTCCCATCTATACTTGGCTGTCGTAGGCTTCTACTACTTCGCTTCATAAATTTCTGCAGAGCTTAAAAGCTGAGAGAGACATAATATTCGACAAGAGCGAAGGAGTAGATCAGTGCAGCAAAGAGAGCCATTTGATAAAGTAGATATAGAAGTCCCATCATGAAATATGGTTCTAAGCTGTAAAGCTTTTAATGACTTGAAATCAAACTTGCCCATTTCACAGATAACTTTTTCTGATAATGCTTGTCCTGCAAACACAACCTGTGATTTGATGATCCAGCCCTCCTTTCAGGTTCCACTATCCTCAGTAGTAATAAAGATTATTTAACTGGTATTTATTGAACTGTTTCATTGCTACACGTGTCAGACAAGAATCCAGCTTGCTCTTGTGTGACTGTGTTAGCTTAGTAAGACTGGTAGAATAAAATAACAAGAGTGTATTTATGGCAGAAAATTCAGCTGATGTGACCCAAAATACTCAGGGAGCAGATCTCATGGGAGAGAATGTATGAATGTCATATAAAAAAAACAAAAGGAAGTTTTTTTTTTCCACACAGCACGTGGTGGTCTGTGGAACTCCTTGCTAGAGGAGGTCGTGAAGACCAGGAATTTAATGGGCTTCAAAAAAGAGCTTGATAATTCATGGAGGTTAGGTCCATCAATGGCTATTAGTAAGGATGGGTAGGAATGGTGTCCTTAACCTCTGTCAGAGGCTAGGAACAGGTGATGGGAGAGGAACTACTTGATTCCCTGTTCTGTTCACTCCCTCTGGGGCATCTGCTGGTCTGACCCAGTATGGCCGCTTTATAATACTTTTCTGACCCGAGTGTCTCTCTAATATTTCTTCACTTTTCATTTAGACCTCTTAAAATATCAAACCTGTCCAGAACTGTTGTTGTCATAGTATTTTTAAACAAATGCACATGACTCTTACAAATTGTTATAGCTGCTTTTTGGAGTGAGCAGAATGCAGCTATAAAACCCAGAAATTCTTGCTTCATTGTTGGCACGTGCCACTGTTGGTTTTATAGACTTGTTTTGCTTTTTCCCAGGATGGCAGAGTGTTCATCTGGACATGCGATGATGCCTCTGGAAACTCATGGTCACCAAAATTGCTGCACAAATTCAATGATGTAGTCTGGCATGTTAGCTGGTCTATTACTGCAAACATTCTTGCTGTGTCAGGAGGAGACAATAAAGTGAGTGCAGTGGCTTGAACTCTGCTTTTGCATGCGGCTCTTCTTAGTAGCACTAACCACCGGAGCACAATGCTAACTTAAGTTCTGAACTGTTATGTACTTTTCCAAATTTTCAGTTGAGCCATATCAAGAACATGAATTCTGATTTAGTCTTTAATTCAACATTAAGTAACTTTGAAAATAAGTTTAGCTCTTTCACTGACTGAAACAAACACTTGATTTTAAAACACTAGAGATAAATTTTTGGAGTATTTTGAAAAATAAAATCTCTTTCATTGTTCATTCACTTTGAGGTGAGGTGTACCTTTCCTGGTCTTTTCATCAGACAGGCCAAACTCCTGCTCTCCTACTTAGCACTGCAGTTTGTGAATTAATCCTTTATCAAGATGATGCAGCATTTTGTGAGATGCAATATAATTTAAAATTGCAATCCAGTATTGGTTGATGGCAGGTGGAATAAGACTTACACAACATATACTTCAGTTAGTGTCTTATGTAAGATATCATCCCCTCCTTGTGCAGTTATAAATGTCAAAACTTACAAATTAGGATGCTGGTTGCTTTGAGTTAAGAGCATTACAAAGAGCCTTTTATCATTGGATGTAATCCTGCGACTACTTAAGGAGCCATTTTACCAATATGTGGGGGTAGGGGGAAAGTAGGGTGAAAAAGTGTAGCAGAGAAAGACAATGTGTATAGTGAACCCCAGAAGAGGGGAGTGGTAGAGCATTGGTATTTCACTAAGGCTAATGTTTCTCCTTTCTGATTGGTTTATAGGTCACTTTATGGAAGGAATCAGTAGATGGACTGTGGGTGTGCATCAGTGATGTCAATAAGGGCCAAGGAGCTGTGTCAGCTATTACAGAGGGGCAGCAGAATGAACAATGACTGATTCAATAACAACCTCGTTGGAATGCAAGGAGAGGAATCACCTAACATGATTTTTTATGACATTTCTAGAGCCCATTGAGAGATGAAAATTTGAAGACCATCACATAACCATGGTAAAAGCTACATGCAGTATTGATCAGCCTTAATGTCAGTTTTCTGAAATTGAACTGCACAGCAAAATACTGTACCCTGTGCTATTCCTTTCAGATGTATAATCAGAACTTCCCTTCCCTGGTGTAAGCAGGTTCAATTAGAAAGAGTGAAGTCTGACTTGTTCTTTTTGCTGGAGGACTGTGGCTGACTAAAGTGAGAACATTACTGATAAATGCTGAAATTTGAGCTGTGGCTTTTCTATTGGAAAAGTGCTGTGACCAAGACTCGGTTACCTCTTTTCCTTCAGAGTGGGGTTGGGAGAGCTTTCAGCATGAGCTGTGCTCTCTCACCAGTCAGGTACTTTAAAGACTTGCCAAAGTCCTTCAGAATAAAGAGAATCAGATCTTGATATCTAGTAAACAACCTGGGGGGTGGGATGAGGGAAAGCACAAAGTGTACAATGGTATTTTTGCTTTACAATTTGCTTTTAAACTTGGTTGAAAGCTCTTATTTAAAAAAATTCCCAAATCTTCTAAGCTATTCACTTTAAACTATTTCTTTTTAGACACTTATGTATTGTGCCTCAGGTGTTTTGATTTCAATAAAAAATGCAATAAAGTCCTTTTGGTTACAACCCTAGTGTTCTGTGGTAAATCCTGAGAAATATATAGCTCTCATCTGCAAATCTCAAAGCTCTTTACAAAGCAGGTCAGTTGTCACCATTTTACAGATAGGCAGGTCACTTCACCTCTGTTTCCCTAAGGTAATTCAGCAAGCCAGTAGCAGAACAAAGGGTAGAACCTACCTCTCCTGAGTCTCAGAACTCTCCTAGTGCTCTTGACTAGGCCACCCAGCTTCTCCTTTGCAGTGGCTTTACCATAAGTGTCTATCCACAGCATTCAGTTACTCATTCCCAAATACTGTCCATCCCTTTTATGGCTAGAAACATAAATCTGTGACATCAGGGGGCTGCGGGAGACCCTTCCTGACCTGTCAGAGGGCACAGGTTGTAGGCAATAGCTGGGGGATTGTGGCAGTTCTGATAAAGCCTTGAGCAATGAAATAGATTGAAACTTATTCTGTTGGCATACACGCTGGTGCCATGGTGTCCAACATGCTAGTCCCTAGCCATGTTAGCTTATAGTCAAGGAAATGATTAACAGCTAAGGCTAGGCTTATCTGTTAATCCAGGCAGCAGTGCAGAGGGTGAGGGGGGCAGGCTGGAGCTGATACGTAGGGGGAGTCTACTTGCAAGCCAGTTCCACAGGACCTGCTTTCTTCTCCTATGGAGGCAGCAAAGGGGGGTAGGCAGAAGTCAGTGCTGTGGGAAGCCAGCTTAAAAGCTAGTTCTCCTTCCTGCCCCTCCAGCCCCACTCCTTGCACTGCTGACTCTGTTAGAGGCAACAGCACAAGAGGAGAGAGGGCAGGGGAGGCTGCTCTGCATCCCCCCGGGAACAGCCTCTGTTCATGGCGAGCCTGAGCCTCACCCCAGACGGAGGCTGCTCTGCAGCAGCAGTCCCTGTCTCTGAGGGGCAGGGGAGTCCAAGTTCCCTGCAGACAGAGGCTACTCTGCATCCTTCAAAGAGGAGCAGTGTGGAGTAACAGGGGGCCCAGGAGTGGGGCTGGACTGCACTGGCTGCCAGCCCTGCCCCTGGGCCTATCAAATAGTCATGTAACTGCTAAAATGTCAATCAGTTACATGACTATTCAATTACACGATCGTTAACATCCCTATTAGCCACATGTGGCTATTTGGCCAGTTGAGTGTGGCTAGTTTGCTACAGCAGTAGGCACTATAGCGGCTACTGCTTCAGAACTGGTTGGACACCAGGGCTCTAGTACAACTATCAGCAAAGGGTCTCTCACCTTGCTATTATCTTCTCTGGTCTTTGCTTAATGTAACATAGGGCTTTGGTGAAGAAAGTACCATATTTTCCGGCATATAAGACGACTTTTGATGTTAAAAAACATCCCCCAAAAATCGGGGGTCGTCTTATACGCCGGGTATACAGCTTTGCAAAGCTGCGGAGGGGCTCCGGCGGCGGGGCAGCCCCGGCGCGCCGGGGCTGCCCCGCCGCCGGAGCCCCTCCGCAGCTTTGCAAAGCCTCGGGGGAAGCCGGCAGCGGGACAGCCCCGGCGCGCCGGGGCTGCCCCGCCGCCGGAGCCCCTCCGCAGCTTTGCAAAGCCTCGGGGGAAGCCGGCAGCGGGACAGCCCCGGCGCGCCGGGGCTGCCCCGCCGCCGGAGCCCCTCCGCAGCTTTGCAAAGCCTCGGGGGAAGCCGGCAGCGGGACAGCCCCGGCGCGCCGGGGCTGTCCCGCTGCCGGGGCGTCCTCAGAGGCTTTGCTCCCGGTGTCCCTGGTCTGCTGGGGACCGTCTCCAGCAGACCAGGGACACCGGGAGCAAAGCCGGGGAGGCGGAGGGGCGCTGGGGTATAAGACGAAACCCTATCTTAACTAAAAAATTAGGGTGTCGTCTTATACGCCCAGTAGCCTTATACGCCGGAAAATACGGTAAGAAACGCAAGCTAAAGTTTGCTCACTTTTTCTTTGGTTAAAGCCTGATTTTCCTGGAGCTAAATATTTTAGCATAGCCCAAGTTTGATTATATTTTCAGAAGAAAGGCAGTTCAGTTTTCATGCCCTGCATCAGAGGGGCTGTGTTGTTGGGCCTTTGAGCTGTATTTCTACTTGGCAATCAGAGCCTTCCTTTCCAGTTGCACTGAAAAGTGGTGGCAGAGGGAGACTTACACACCCCAATGCAACTATGTAGGTGTGAACATTCCTCTTTGCTTATGCACCGTTGGCATATTCAAAGAGAAACCAAGTTATCTAAGATCAATATTTACTGAGACACTAGAGATAAAGCCTTCTTAAAAACACTATAGCAAGGGAATATTTGTTTTGAAACTAACAATGAGTGACTTTCCTGTATATGATTTTAAAATACTTTTCTCCATTTTTTTGTTGTCTGGTTCTCTACAAAACACATGCACTCAGTATCTGTGACTCACTCTTAAGATATTCAAATGTATTTGTTTTTCAGAAGCAAACCTTTTTACCCCATCGCCATCATCCCCTGGCTTTAGATCCACTATGATTAGTCTTTTCCCATTAGTATTCTCAGCTGGCTATTTTAAGAGCATTTTAACCTCTCTCTACCCAAGCCCCTCAGCTAATTAGTTATTCAGGACCCTTGCCATGGTATCTGGCTCCCTATCAAATCAGAAGTGAAAATGCATTAGAACATTAAGCTACCAATTGCACAGTCTTAAACTACATTTGGTCTGAGGCTGCCCCACAAAATATAAGAACAACCATACTGAGTCAAGACCAAAAATCCATCTAGCCCAGTATCCTGTCTGCCAATACCAGATGCCCCAGCGGGAGGGAAACACAACAGGTAATCCTCACGTGATTCCTCTCCTGTCACCCTTTTCCAAACAGAGGCTAGGGACACCATTTCTACCCATCCTAATAGCCATTGATGGACCTAACCTCCATGAATCTATCTAACCCTTTTTTGAACCCTGTTAAAGTCCTAGTCTTCGCCACATCCTCTGGTAAGGAGTTCCACAGGTTGACTGTGTGCTAAGTGAAGAAATCCCTCCCCCACCTTTGTGATCCTGAATTATCCAAATCAGAGTTTGGCAGAAATAGTTCTTACAGCACCCAAGATACCACATGTACAAGCACAGAATGAAAGCACAGATATTGTACCTCTGGCTTTTAATACAAGGTTTAGAAACAAGTTTGCCTTAATTAAATCTTACTCTGATGGGACTTAACAGGCAAGATGCTTTCTGTGGGAGTAGGTGGTCTGGACTGATTATAATTCTAATGGTTACTAGGTCCTGAATTGCAATTCAAGCATTATGCCTCCAACTCAAAATGTTTAAGATTGTGGTTAAACTTAATTGTAGATAAAATTAAGGACATGATTGTTTGATCTGGAATTTATGGACCAGATCCTCAGACACTTCTGTTTCAAAGGCTGGCATCTAAATACCTTTCGGCTGTGTCTACATTGGCAAGATTTTGTGCAAAATCTTGCCGCCTGTCTACACTGACCACAAGTATTTGCACAAGAACATTGACGTAATGTAAAAAATCAGTGCTTCTTGTGCAAATACTCTGACGCTCCTGCTCAAGGATAAGTCCTCTTGCGCAAGAGGCCAGTGTAGACAGGTAACATCAATTTCTTGCGCAAGAAAGCCCGATGGCTAAAATGGCCATCAGAGCTTTCTTGTGGAAGAGAGCGTCTACACTGGTACAGATGCTTTTGCGCAAAAACAAATCTTTTGCGCAAAGGCATATGCCAGTATAGACGCTCTCTTGTGCAAATACTTTTAACAGAAAAACTCTTCCATTAAAAGTATTTGTACAAAATCATGCCAGTGTAGACACAGCCTTCATGATTTGGGCCTACATGCCAGAATGGCCAAACTTACTGATCCTGAGCTACATATGATAATAGTTAGAAGTTTGAGAACCTCAAGACACTCAGAACCTGCCCCACAGGACAACACCTATTAGGGCACAAAACTTTTCCAGTTCCCCCCCACCCCAAGCAGAGCTAAAGCCATGAGATCCCCCTTCTCTGCAAGGCAGAAGCTCCTAGCCCCACCACCTGGATGCAGGGCAAATGCCCTGAGGTTTCCCCACCCCCCAGTCTGGCAAGTGAAGAATTGGGAGCAGGGGTAAACTGCACTTTTACAGTTAAAGAGCTACGTGTGGCTCACAATCTGTGATTTGGCCACACCTGCTAAATGCTTATACCTTATTACACCATCTTTGAGTTTTGTGTTCTTTATTTGTGATGGCCTGAAAGTTACTCATATTATGTTTGTGCTGCTGCCTTAATGGAGTGATTATTACAAGCAAAACCTAGCCCCCTGAGAGAAAAGATTTTTAATCAAACGTTTTAAACTCTGTGCACCCTATTTAATTCTAGCTTCTGACAAAACAGTTGGGAGAAAAGGTCTCTATGAACATACAAATTAAGAACATTAAAACTGCCATAATGGGTCACACTAATGGCCACCAACCCAGTATTGTTTCTGACAGTGACCAATACCAAAGCTTTTTTGGGGTGGGAGGTGGGTGAGAGGGAAGAGCATGCAAAACAGGAAAGCTAGAGAGTTTCACCAATCTTCCCCTCCTGGCTATCAGAGGCTTAGGGATACCTCAAACAAGGTTGCAGCCCCGACCATCTTAGATAACAGCCCCTGATCAATGTATGAACTTATGTAGTTCTTTTTGGCACCCTGTTTTACTGTTGGCCATCATAACATCCCATGGCAATGAGTTCCACAGGTTGAGCATTGTTGTAAAAGTATTTCCTCATGTTCGTATTAAACTTTCAGCAGATGACCCCTATCATTGTATAGAAAAGGGGTTATCTTTTCCCTGATGTGCATTACTTTGCATTTATCCATATTCAATTTCATAGTTCATTGGTGCCCAATAATCCAGTTTTGTTGCACTGACATGTAACATGCTGCCATCAGCTTTGGACATAACGATCATGAATAATTTTGTAACAGCTGCAACTTTGTCACTTGATTGTTCATTCCCTTTTCCAGCTCAAATAAAATATGTACTAATGCACTGGCCCCAAAGATGCTTAGGGAACTTTGCTGTTCCCATTGTGAAAACTATTCATTCTAGGGATGTTAAATTTCGATGAATCAGTTAATTGAATAGTTAATAGTATTCCACTGACTAGTCAATGGGGAGTGGGGCACTCACTATCCTGGCTGCACCTCTGCCTTTTAAATGTAATAAGAGCCACCCACAGCTCTTACTACGTTTAAAAGGCAGAGGTGCAGTGGGGAACCTGGGGCAAGCATTGACTCAAGGGCTACGTCTAGACTGGCATGATTTTCCGCAAATGCTTTTAACAGAAAAGTTTTCCGTTAAAAGCATTTGCAGAAAAGAGCGTCTAGATTTTGATCTGAGGAAGTGGGTCTGGCCCACGAAAGCTCATCACCTATTAAACCATCTTGTTAGTCTTTAAAGTGCTACACAGTCCTGTTTTTTGTTTTAGATTGGCATGGACGCTTTTCCGCAAAATCTAGACACGCTTTTGCACAAAAAAGCCCTGATCGCCATTTTCGTGATCTGGGCTTTTTTGCGCAAAACAAATCTGAGCTCTCTACACCAGCCCTTTTGCGCAAAGCTGTGCGCAAAAGGGACTTTTGCCCGAACGGGAGCAGCATAGTATTTCCTCAAGAAACACTGATTTCTTACAGTAGGAAGTCAGTGTTCTTGCGGAAATTCAAGCAGCCAGTGTAGACAGCTAGCAAGTTTTTCCACAAAAGTGGCTGCTTTTGCGGAAAAAGCTTGCCAGTCTAGACGCAACCAAGCAGTCCCTGCTCATACTGGGTCCCAAATGCTGTACCTGACTACGGCTGAGCCCGGGGAGCTCTTACTATATAAAAGGCAGAAGGGTAACAGTTGGGACCCAGCACAAGTGGGGAATGCTTCATTTCCACTTGTGCCATTTCCTCTGCTGCACCTTTGCCTCTCCTGCAAAGACAGTGCTGGGGGGCAGGAGGGGAAGAGAATCAGCTTTTAATCCAGTTCCCCACCAGCACCAGCTCCTGACCCCCCTTGCTGCCTCTTACACAAACGGGACTGATACATCGGGTAGTTGACTAGTTGCTTACATCTCTAATTCATGCCTACCTTTTATTTCCTGTTCTTAACCAGTTACAGAGCCAATTAAAAGGACTTTCTTGTATCCCATGAGTTCTTAAGTTTCCTTAAGAGCCTTTGGAAACTTGACCTTGTCAAAGGCTTTCTGAAAATACATCCTGGATCAGAATAGCAGCCAGTGTAGTGTCCAGTTTCTGGCAGGGGCCAGAAACCTCCAGAAGGCACCTCTGGAATAATTTATCCCCTTCACAAAGCTTACCCTGATATCTAAGTGTTAAGCATTAGTTTAAGGGTTGAATCATGGGATTTAGTATCACTTTCACATTTTTAATCACTAATTATAACTGTTCTTTGTCTTCATAAATATCCAATCCCTTTATTGAATTCCTGACCATAATGACTTCCAGTGGCAATGCATTCCACATCAAACAATGTGAAAAAGTATTTCCTTGTTTTGAATATCCCTTTAAATTTAACAATGTTCTCTACTTGTGCAAGTTTATCCACATGCCATTTATCTTTTTTTATGAAAATTCATCCCAGTTTTTTCAATTTCCCTTCATGCGAGAGGTTTTGCCAGGCCTTTAGGCACTAGTTCCTCCTCTCTAAATCTCCCTCCAATTTTGTAAAAAAGTAAAGCCCCCCAGCAAAATAAAGCAAAGCAATATCTGATAAGGTAGAACACAAGCAAAGAACTTCAGGGAAAATTTTTTAAAAACAAAAAGCATACATCCTTCCATTTCATTTTCTATTCTACGTCACAAACAGCTTCTCTATGTTTTAGCTAAACTCCACTGAACAATATCAGTCCAACTATTGATAAAATTATTCTTAGAAGAATAAAATTTGTAACATTTTATTCTTACAGTAAATGAAAAACTCTCTTTGGATCAAAGTAGAGTTGCTACCATACTCCTCAGAAAAATCTAGTGCAGCAACACATCTATGCACGGTTTTCACTTTTTGTTGTCACAATGACTTGAGCAAAGGAAGTTTCCAAGGAATTCCAAATACATATTGGATTGTATCTGAAGAGGTGTTTTAGCATAAAACAAATACTTCAGGAACTATATAAGTGCTTAACAGCAGCAGCCATATGATCAAACAAGACAGCCTGTGTTTTCCTACACAGTTTCTCTCTCTGTCACCTCTCCTTCTGTTTTATATTTTTCTACTTGTGGAGAGAAATAGGGTAAGTTTCATACAAATCTATTTCTTACTATTATAAAGTAATAAACTCACCACTCAAAGCTGGATCTCTGAAAGGTGACCAACTACCGCAATACACATCTTTCATAAAGATGACAAATTTATTTCAAATCAATGTATGAAAAATTGGGGATTTGATCTGGGCTCAAGGACATAAAATAAGTGACACTAAAAACCATATAAAGTTTTTCTATCTTTATTAAGTTTTCAGGTTTGATATAATCTGTGCCAAAGACACTCATGTTTCTCAGGAGCACTAAGATGGGAATTCTCCTACTCTGCATTCTCTGGACAGAGACTGCCATGACTGGATCTAGTTTTTTAAGTCCTGAATATCAAAACACACAGGTAAAATCTCCTTCCTCCCCCTTCCCACCCCCCCGCATCCCCCTTCTGTTCTGCAATGTGATTTGTCCTTTTCATATTTGTTCATTTTTTTTAATTGTATCCTTTGGTATATATGGTTGTGACTACTTTCTTCCACTATTTGATCTGAGGAAGTGGGTCTGGCCCACGAAAGCTCATCATCTAATAAACCATCTTGTTAGTCTTTAAAGTGCTACATTGTCCTGCATTTTGCTTCAACTACCCCAGACTAACACGGCTACATTTCTATCACTAGGTAAAATTAGGTATATTTTACTCTTTTTAAACTTCTTCTTGACACAAAATGATTTTTTATAATACTCAGAAAAACCTTACAGGTTGTCTCAATCTAAGAAGATACAAGTTCTGCCAAAAGAGAAGTTTATTGAGATTTCCAGATGAACATAAACCAATCAGGCTGCATCCCCAGTAGGACAATTAGGACCTACAATTCTGCAGTGGTGGCAATAGAGAGTGATGTTTTAGTGTATATAGGACTTTGATGACTTTACCATTGTTGTTTGCTTAGAAGAAGAAAAGAAAATTGTGGTTAAAAAAAAGCTAATTGAGCTGCCCATGTGGTAAATTATGGGTTCTAAATTTTACACTGTAGATGAAGCCTATTTGTTAAGTCTACGAATAAAGTATTTACACTTTGATTGCTTTTCAGCAACGAAAGGAACCAAAAAAACATACAAAGTTAAATCGCCGGGCTACACAAGGATTTTTGGATGCAGATGCAAGGCAGGCAGAAGGAGACAATGAAATAGAAATTAAGGTTTGTATTTTACCGTCAATCTGAGGTTTGTTTTGTATATGATCACCTAATACAAAACGCATTAGATTGATGCAAAAGATGGTATAAATAAAAAAACTATACTGACATCTGATTGGAGAAGCAGTTAAAAAAAATCACTTGAAAATGGTAACCATTGCTAATCTTTAAACAAAATCAAAAGCAGCTTAACATTTATTGCAACTGGTTAAGCTACAGATTTAATTCCATTTCAAGATACATGTGCGATGAAATTTTACTTCAGACTTTCTTCAGTTCTCATACTTCGCTATACATCTTTTTGTTTACAATAGCTATACACAGGGTAATTGCTGTTCCTCATGTATATATAGTTATTTCCACCACAGACTCCAAGTCAATTAGGTGCTTAGCGGGAACAAGTTTTCCTAATTTTCAGAGAGTTCAGCTAACACTGTTGAATGTATCAGTCTGCAAAACCTATGTACTCACTAGCAGAAAAGAATCAAACTCTCTAAGAAAACTGTTAAACTGAGTTCATCTGATTTGATGCTTTTATTAGCTTAATGTTCCCTTTGAAATTGGTGTCAAGATAACAGAAGATCAGTACCAGGAGTACGGGCAAGTGCTGGAGAAAATTCTAGAGGATGTTCTTGCAGAGGACACAAAAGGTACTTGTCCCTCCCTCACCCCAACTTCCCAGTGCAGGGCAAGAAGGTGGGTAGGCTCTTCCCTCCCATTCACTCTGCCAGCAATGCCAGTTTTATTCTCTGATTGTCCATTCCCACTACACATTATCTTTTTTTCCCCCTGTATGGCTCCATAAGCTTTTAACATAACCCACCTTTCCAAATGGATGGATATACAAGGCCACTTAATTCTGTTGTCCTTCAAATCCCTTCTCAAGTCTCACTTCCTCCAGGTCTCTTAAAAGGCGGCAGCCACCATGTAACAGCAGCAAGTGTGTGCATATATAAACTGTGTGTATGTCTTCCTCTCCCCCACTTTTCATGTTCTGCTCAGTAACACATACAATACACTCTTGACAAGAACTACATCAATTTGACTTGGATCTTGGTTCAGCCTTGGGAACTACTCTAATGTAAATATTGGAAACTATTGGAAAAATTAACACATGAATTACATACCCAGCAAAACCAATAGAGGACAAGTAGATAATTAGAAATTGTTACCTTTTATTCAATAAGAGTACATTTACCTGTATCAGAGGCATTAGCGCAGGGTATCAGGTGAGAGCCAGTCCGTGAGAGGGGCCAGTTTAGAAACCAGCTCCCTGCGCAGACAGGCTTCCTGCCACCCCGTGCTGCTGCCTCTTATACAGAGGCAGCAGCGCAGGGTGGCCAAGCTGGAAAGCCAGTTCCCCACATGTATTGTCTCCAGCCGACTCCCTCACTCTACGCACTGGCTCCTGTTGATACAGAGGTAGCAAGGAGAAATGTGTGTAGTTGACCAGATTAACTGATAAGCCCAGGCTCATTGGTTAATCGTGTAATTGTCTACACACTGACATCCCTATCCTCTTCTCTTTCAGAAATCCAAACATTGACAAGAGCTGAAACATGAAGACAGTACAAACTCATTCCAGTTCAATGCAGTTCCACTTACTGGCTTGGATTTCTTTAAATGTGACTTGTGTAATTGATGACAATAGCATGCTTTAAAAGTCAATGCATAAAGCTGAAAAGTTTGCAGTTTTAAAATTATATTTTATTGTGTAATAGTTCTTTTCATGAGAAAACAAGTATTATACATATGATAGACAGCAGCAAGGGTCAAACACTGACCTCTAAATTGTTTTCTTACCTTTCAAAACTATGTGACTCTGAAGATACCTGTTCTAAAAAGTGAAAGAAGAACCCTCTGTTAAACTACTATATGCTTCATGCAGCAAAAAAATAAAGCTAGTATTGAAACCGCAGTCATTTGTTAACTGAGTCTATATACATGTGGTATTAGATGCAAATTTCAGTCTTCACTATGCACATATGTATATTAGGGATTTTAAAATGTGGGTTTTTTTGGAAATGTCTAACTGTGGAAATTTAACACGTGGGGAGGGGGAGGAGAGCAGCAGGAGTTAGTATATGCAGGGAGCCAGCTTAAAAGCCACCTCGTTGTATGTACTGGCTGGTAATACAGGCAGCAGCACAAGGGGGCAGGCAGCTCTCCAGAAGCTGGTGCTCATGGGGAGCCAGCCTAAAAGCCAGCTTCCTGTGAGTGCTGGCTCCTGCCTGCTCCTCTCCCCACAATGCTGCCTCTGATACAGAGGCAGCAACGCGGGGGGGGGGAAGGGGAAGAGAGAACCTTGTATTTAATGGTGAAGATTAGACCATTTAAACAAACAATATCACATCCCTAATGTATATCATAAAGGAATGTGTATATGAAGTTATCTTTGATTAGCTGAGTTAATCAACAAGGCATACATCCATTACATAATACTCAGTCCTGAGTAAAAGGAGACTGAAAGATGACCTCTCAAGATCCATTCCAGTCCTATGATTGCAAAGAGCCCTATCATGTACCTACTAAAGTAAATGAGAGTTGTACAGTTAGTCGCAATAGACAAAATAGTGTCTCGTTAGTGGTCCTAAAGAAAAAAGGAAGCAGCAAATTATAGTCTTTACAACATGAAAGTTTTTCAATGGTTGCTTTGTCAAAAAGACCGAGTAGTAAATTTACAAGTAGCGGTTATCCACGAGGGGGGCTGTAGTATAGCCAAACTTATTGAAATAAATACTTGTAGTGGAAATACTGGATAACTTCACATTCAAATATTTCAAGCTGTTATTTAAGATGGGCTATGTGCACTTGAAATATTGGGAGTAATACTTTTAGAAAATTATATATTAAAAATCCTTCTCCGGAACACGAGCCCACACCACTTCCTTGGTACTACCAACAGATATGGACAATGTGTAAATTGGAAAGGTGTAACTGAACACTTGGTTTCACATTGTAATTTATTAGTTTGGGGGGATGCCTGATTGATAAATGAAAGAGTCCCAATCCAATAATCTAGGTTTTACAGATAACTAAAGTCAATATACAAAATCTTAGTTTAACTCTGTATAAACCAAACAATTTTAACAGTATCTCTTTTTCAGAGATCTTTATTTACAAATAAGCTTTAAAGAAGTGTCAACTGTATGTTTCAAGGTATATTAAAAGTATCCTATAACAAAAATTAAGTCATTGTCATTTGTAATATTGACCACTGAAAGGACAATGGCCCAAAGTATTTTAAAATTAAGACTTTCCATTTTTGTTAAGAGGCATTTTTCTTCATGACAACACAGTTGGGCCGTATCCCTATAGAAGAATATTCAGGATGGATTTCCACATTCAATGCGTAATACAGGATCCATCAGAAGTGGGATCAGTGGGCTTCTATGTTCACATTCAATTTGAGTTCTTTTAAAACCTTGTTACAACTAAAAAAAATCTGCTATCTTTGATGCTACTCAGCACACTGGTAATTTAAACATTTTTCAGCAAAATGTTAAAAACTTATTTGGCACCACAGGCTGTACATTTTATTCAACTTTTTAAAGAAAGGCACTTGTACACAACACTATAAACAATTTAGGGTATGTTTTCATTCTGTGGCACGAGGAACTCTATGCACAGTTGTGTCAAATTCTTTGCTCTGATATATACTCTTTTCCATATCGCCTCAGAAATGGGGTGTCTTAGGGGGCCAAGATCATTGCCCAACTTTTTGGATCTAGCTATACCCGAGTAATCCACATTTGCTTAATAAGTTACTGGCTGTTTACTCTTGAACACACTAATACAAATAAGACTAAATAAAATCCCATAATATTTCCTACAGCAGATTCTCTGCATCTCCACAAGAAAAGCCATTTACCCAAGAGACATCAACACCCCTTTCTTGTGGCACCCCATGGGGAGATAATGGACCAGTAGAGAATTAAAAGGAGATGAAACAGGATACAGATTAAAAGGGAATGGTAACTTTTGGGAAGAGTAGGGGTGGCAAGTCATGTGTACAATTTGAACCTCTCTAAACCAGGACTCTGTGGCCCAGCAACTTCTGTAGTCTGGCAGGGCCACCTGGCAGGGCAGCAGGGGTCAGCGACAGGAGGGGGGCTGGCAGGGAGGCCAACAGCTGGGCCAGAGCTGGGGGCAGGCAGTGGCAGGGGGACAAGAAATTATCTTCTCTGGTCCGGCAAAATCCCTCATCCAGGGCAGGTGAGGTCCCAAGGTGTTAGACCAGGGAGGTCCAACCTGTACTTACCACTAGCTATCACCTCCAAATTCATTTGCAAGATAACATTTTGGGGCCATAGAAGACATAATATAGATGTCACTTGAAGGTTTTTCATCATTTCACAGCAGCTTTCTTGACATCACTCTTCTCCACATTTGCTAGCACCATCCTACAGATTGTACATGTAGTTGGTGTTCTTCCTTAGAACTGCCAAGGTATGGGAGAGTGGCAGGTCCTTCAGATGGGCAATCTCCCTCACTGTGTGCAGGGCTAGTCCTGGGTGAGAATACTGGCATATGCTTTTGGGAACCTGCACAAACATTAATGAAAAGGAGGAGTCAAGAACTGTGCAGGTCACTTCCTCTTGTTCTGCACTGTGCAGAACTAATCAGGAATTATCACATCAAGACTCTAAATATGGCCACTGAAATTTTTCAGAAAGTCAGTTTCAGCAATACAGTAGACTTCCAATAATCCGGCACCTTTGGGACCTAGGTGGTGCCGGATTATTGGATATGCCAGAGTATCGGGAGGTACTCCGGTGGGGGGCTGACACGGGTCTGCCGGGACCCTCACTGCGACCGGGTGGGAGGTGGGGAACGGCGCGGCGAGGGGAGAACCCTCCGCTGTTTTGCAGGAAGGCGGGGGAAGCCCTGCGCCGCCACCGAGAGTTTCTGGGAGGGGAGCAGGCTCCCCACCCACCAGACTGCAGTAGTTATCGCCGAACAGGGGGATGAGGGGTGGCGCTGCGGTACCAACCCAGGAGCACCCCAGCTGCTCTGCAACTTCCCCAAGTCCGCTGCTTGTCAGTTTCAGCAGTGGCAGCAGCGGACTTGGGGAAGCCCCCTGCAGCAGAGCAGCTGGAGTGCTGCTGGGTTGGTCTGGTAGCGCCGACCCTTGGCACGGCGAGACCAACCCGGCAGCACCCCAGCTGCTCTTGGGGACGCCTGGGGCAGAGCAGCTGGGGTGCTGCTGGGTTGGTTCCGCAGCGCCACCCCTTGCCCCCCTGCTCGGCGAGGACTACTGCAGTCTGGGGGGTGGGGAGCCTGCTCCCCTCCCAGAAACTGTAGGTGGTGGCACGGGGCTTCCCCCGCCTTCCTGCAAAACGGCGGAGGGTTCGTCCCTCGCCGTGCCATTCCCCATCTACCCCTTGTATGCAGTACGGTATAATCCCCTTCTCCTTTTCTCCGCTTCCCTTTCCCAGCCGCGAGCGCTCATGGGGCTCACAGCAGCTCCAATTGTCCAGCTGGCCGGAGCACTTCCGGGTTCCAGTTGGTGCTGGACAATTGGAGTTTTACTGTATTACTATTTGATGTTTCCAGTGTTTCTTCCATTCCAGAACTCTTTAGAAGGACAGCAACCAGCGAACAAGCTACACAATAATGGAGGAGGGAATTGGCCGGAGACATTGAAGTAAATATCTATCCATTAATAGAGAGCAGAAAGGACCTCAGTGTTTAAAGTCTTGTCAGTAAATAATTAAATATGTTGCCCACAGATGAACAAAGGGAGGAGCTGGCTCTGCAAGGATCTGAACTTAGAGTTCTAAACAGCCTATAATTTCAAATAGGAGGCTTAGATCAGCTTTTATTTATAAAGGGAACATTTTACCAGACATATCAGACTAGTCTCAGAGGGGTAGCCGTGTTAGTCTCTCTGAAAAAACAAGGAGTTCTATAGCACCTTGGAGACTAACAGATTTATTAGGGCATAAGATTTTTTGGGTGAAACTCAATTCATCCCATCCACATGCTTTCTGAATATCTGAAGCAAAACACAGGCCTACAAATGTAATAGTCTAACTCACTCCTTCTTGCAGATGTCCTATCAGAACTTCTGACAATGCAACATTAACTCCATGGGCAGGAAAAAAAAATGTTTTGAGCATTTTTAGAAACATACTTACCTGCCTCGGAAGGAAATAGGGGGCATCCGTTTCTACAATTATTCTGTTCAAAGGCATTTTTTTTATAGTTTCTCTGGCTTCAAAGGCAGATGAGTAAGTCAGCAGTGCAGTGAATCCCACAGAAAGGTTTGGAAAATGCTCTAGCAATGGCTCTATGACATCATAACTACCTGTAAAGCAATGCCTAAGGATAAACAGAAAACTTTGGTCATTCTCTAAGATAACACTTCTGTACATTTTCTAATAAGGGACAGACTAAGGAGATAAGAATTTAAGGAATCCAATTTTCTTCAGTTAGCCGTATTCTGTCTAAAGTTTCAATATTTAATGGACTGACTCAAAACTGAAGGGTGGGATTACTGCAGAAAAGACAAGGAAAAGACTGCGGGCAGCATAGCATTTGAAGCAACAAATGAAAGTTAGATACTTAATATGGTTTCTGGTACAAGGTAGAATTCTTCCCAACAATTTAGAATAAAAACATCTTTTCAGATCAATCATTTAGTTCTGCATAGTGAATAATGTGTTCCTCCAGATTAGGCATCAGCTGGGGACTTCCAATCACATTAAAATGCAATTTAGATATTCCCAGCTTTATAATTCTGATAATCATTCATGATTGAGAGGCTTGATTATTAAAAAACAAAAACAAAAACAGAAAAATTTTAACAAGTTTGATCTGTTTCAAAGTAACCTTGTTTCTGAACACCTTTTACTTAACAATAGCAACACCTAAAATTTCTAGAACCAAAAGAGGAGAGAAAACTATATCCTTCCCCTTTAATTTATCTAATGAGTTTGGTAAACACAAGTCTGTGTATAATCAGTTTCACAGTTTCCTTTTTATATGCAGTTCTGTGTTTGGATAGATATTAGTCTGCACGTTCCCTTGTATGACTGATGGACAGATTTTTTTTGGTTGCTCTCTGAATTGCTCTCTGCCCTACAAAAGGAACAGAAGCATTCCAGGGCTCTTATTGCTCTTGCTTCTTTTAACTCTTTGTTTCTGTTACTTGCCAAGTCCACAGCTTCAGAACAAGAAACAATTATATCAGAACTTTTGCTGTATCATTTCCTATCTATCCCTAAGGCACCCTCAAAATGAAAATACTTCTTTAATATAAAGTTCCCATCATTTTAAGCACTGATGATCCAGGCAAACTTCCTTATTTCTTTCAATTAAAGCATCACCTGGATCTGAACAGTTTCATATTTTCTGGTTTGTTATTTTACTAATGAATTATGTGAACTCCAGTAGTGAAGACAATTTAATTTAACAAATACAGCTACCTGTGTATCTTGTAGTCTTTAGGCACAAATTTTTTCATGATCCCTAGCAGATCTTCATCAGCCTCTCTGCAATGTATTACCAAGGGTTTCCTTAAAGACACAGCCAGCTGCAGTTGCTTTTCAAATACCTGAAAAAAAGTAAAGGAAGAAACAAGCACTGCCTTTATTTCCATTAGAATTGTTCTAACAGTAAAGAGAATACAATGGGGGTGATAGAGAAGGTGGAAAAATCAATTCATAAATGTATGTTAATTTCCTGTAAATCTATTTATGTTTTAAGATGAATGATTATGGAGAACACCCAGGCACTATGGTGATAGATGTATTTGTTTTCTACACCGAAACAGAAATCTGTGACAAAGCTGGAAATAGAGTAGAGTGCTCCTTCCTTTCAGTGTTGTCCATGATGCTTTCCTACTATATGGCATTTTTGTCCAACTATCCATGTATTTGTTTCCTGCTCATCTCTATTATATCAGAACTCTTACATTCTAAATATACATTTCACAATCTGCAAGAAAAAAATTACTAGAATACAAATGGAATATGCTTTGCATTTGGTCAACATCTAATTTACTTATCCAATGTCTCCAATTCAAATTTGGAAAACTGTTAGGAGAGGAGACATAATGAGAGTATTTGATTAATAGTTTATACGTCATCTTCTGATATGGTCTAATTCACAGATCACTTTCAGGATTCTCTCCTATCCCAAAACAAAAATAAAGGTTGTAAAAAACTGAAGTATGTTGCATAAAGAGAAAAGGGAAGGTTTAGAATTCATAGGTAGACATCAGAGAAGAATTCCAATTAGTAACATATAATTAGAAGCTCAGCTCTTTACCTTGTGTTGCTTGGGGATATCAGTAGAGCATTTGTAAGAATAGTCCAGCCCCATCTCTCCAAATGCAATAGCTTTTGGGTGCCTCATTGCCTGCAAAAGGTTTCTTTCATGGAGGTCTGTGTAGTAACGTGCAAAATGTGGATGACAGCCAAATGCTCCCCAAACCATATCTTCCTTTAACAAATCCTCCCATAAGTCGTCCTCTAGGGTCCGAGGATCACAGAAGTCAGCTATACAGCCTTGAAATTCTTTAGGAAAGGAGCTATTGTAAATCCTTCTAAACTTTGAAAACGTACCCTGGAAAGACATTTTGGAATATAGCATGTCCAAGTGGCAATGGGTATCAATAAAACCCTCCTGTAAATGTTTAGGGAGTTCAACAATTACTTCCTGATTTACATATTCAGAAGTAAAAGAATCTGATGTCAGTGTTCTAGAGATAATGGAAGCATATGATTCTGCTTCCTCACTAGACATTTTGATTTTCTTCTCAGAGACCAGAGAACGCTCAAAGGAACTTGATCTCCAGTGTCCACGTTGAAGTGCAGACTCACAATTTTTTGATGTATTGGGAGGACTACTTGCTGCAAGTTCCACAGAAATATCACAAAGATGACTGCTATTGGAGACACCTAAGTAAGAAGTATCCTCACTGGGGTTTGAAAATGAACGATTAGATGGCCTGGGACTACTTGTCCAGCGCTTTGTAAAGTCACCCCTTGGGTGATTGTAGAGATGAGCTGGGTACATTACGGAATCAGTTATACTTGGTGAAGTCTCCAAAATAACTGACCTATTGTGACATGGAACCGAATCCTCTTGGGAAAACCTAGCTAAAGATTCTACATCGTCCACATCTGACCAATCACTTCCCACGGACAGATCTTTCTCCAGTGTATCTCGTCCTTTGAGCTGCAAGTCAAATGGAAAACAACATATGCAATCGAAACAATTTTAATTTTGTGCACAGTAAATTGTAGTGTCAGAGTTAGAGGTTTCACTTTGTATCCTGTTTATTATTTACCAAAACCAGAGCTGTTCCAGTAAGTACATGAAAACCTCAGAACTAATATACAGTGTTGCTGCCTGAACAAATGAATTACTGACATTAGAGTAAGACCTTGTCTATATATAAAAGCTTTGCTGCTTTAACTATGCTCATATAATTAAATGGCAAACCCCCTTTTAATGTGGGCTCAATTACACTGGTCTAGCTTATTTTGGTTCGGCAATCTGAAATGAACTTTACTAACTTAATTATGTTTATGCAGTAAAGCCTCAGTGTAATGTCAATCAGGGTGGATTTGATTTAATCATGGTTTTCTACATAAAAGTGCATTCCTGTTGATTGTCATATCCTTAATACATATTCTTCACAATTCAGAGACAGATGTAGGTTTCACTTTTAGGAGGTACACACTACACATTTTTAAACAGTGATTATGAAAACTTTTCAGATTAGTTTAAATATCAAGCTCAAATTATGTGTAAAACAAGAAAAACAACTAAGAGGGGCTATGTAATTAGAAGGGCAGAGATCTGTACTAACTGTAGCTCACAGACATCTGAGCTGTAAAAATCTGAGCTATCAGGACAGGATGCACAAGCTAACGTAAGATTGTTCTGTACAGAACATTATACTCAAAATTTGCTCTTTGCGAAACTGTTGTTCTGTTCTCAGGAAATTTAGTGTTACCTAACACAGAGCTCAGCAATCTTTCAAAGAATAGCCTTTTTTTTGGTCTGACTAAAGTACTTTGAGAGCCACATCACACGCAAAGCTGCTTATATACATATACAAAGAAAGCAGGCTGTGGGAGGAGGTCAGAGCTGGGGCTTGTGGTGCAGAAGGGGATATGGATAATGGCTATGGGGAAGGGGTCAGGGCTGGGACTGGGAGTGGAGGAGGGGATATGACAGGCCTGGACAAAAATACAGCCCATGGGCCAGATCCAGCCCGGGGAGACAACAGGGAGCCCCAGGCAGGCTCCCCTGCAGCCCCGTGCACCCTGCAGAAACGTGGCTGCCGGGCTCCATTTCTTTCGAAACTGGAGGGGACGGAGGAGCCACCCCGCTGCCAGCACAATCCCATTGGCCGGTTTCTGGCCAAAAACCAGTCACTGGGAGATGCTTATTTGAATAACAGGCAGCCAAAAAGAACTGTGCCCCCTCTCCTCAGCTCAGTTACTCACTGAAGCACATGGCCAGGCATGCAGGCAGACAGGTATACTGGGAACTGTGCCCCCTCTCCTCAGCTCAGTTACTCACTGAAGCACATGGCCAGGCATGCAGGCAGACAGGTATACTGGCTGGAAATGTTTTAAGCTCTGCAAGCCTTAGCTCTGCAGGCAGACAGGCTATTAAGTCTCGTAGCCACAGCCTGCCTCTGGCATCCCAACCCCTCCCTGATAAGCATTTGCTTATGGGATAGTCTTTTGACTAGTTGATAGGCACATCAACATTCCTCCTTTGAAATGTACAAGAGCCCCCGCTGGGGCTGTTGTATACTTCAGAGGAGGAATGTGGAACTCTGCACATACAGGTGCCTTCTTTGAAATGCACAAGCATCCCCAGCAGAGGCTCTCCTGCATTTCAAAGCCATGCCGCTAGGAGCCCCGGGTCAGCTGGGAACTCCTCAGCTGACACTGGGGCTCCCTGGGAAATACTGTGGGAAGCCTGGGATCAGCTGGGGAGTCCTCTGCTGATCCCAGGCTCCATGGCTTTGAAATGCACAGGAGTCCCCGCTGGGGACTCCTGTGCATTTCAAAGAAGGCACCAGCATGCAGCCCAAAGTCAGCGAGACTTCGGGGCTGTACTCAAGAGTTCTGCATTCTTCCTTTGAAATGTACAAGAGCCTCAGCTGGGTGTCTTGTACATTTCAAAGGAGGAATGCGAAGTGCCTGTTGACTAATCAATTAACGGCAGTTTAACATCCTTATCCCAAACCTTCTCCATTAATACCATGGAAGAGTATGGCTCTTGACCACTTTCCAAAATCTTGGAGTGGCCCCGTCAAAAATTATTGCCCACCCCTGGAGTATGGGGTGCTGGGATTGGCATGTGGCCTCTGTCCAGGAAGCACTTGGATGGCAGTGCAGCTAAACTAAACCAGACTTCCTGCCTGCTCCAGCCCCACATTGCTCCCAGAAGGGAGCAACACATACCACTGTGGCTCTTGGGCACGGGGGAGGGGGAACACGCTGCATCTCTCCATGGCACTATCCCCTCAGTTCCCTGTTCCAGGCCAATGGGAGATGATGGGACAGTGCTTGGGTAGGAGCCATGCAGAGACCTCTGCCATTCTCTCTCTCTCCTGTGGGGATGCCCTAGCTACTTAGCAGCAGTCAGAGGGAGCAACACATACCACTGTGGCTCTTGGGCACGGGGGAGGGGGAACACGCTGCATCTCTCCATGGCACTATCCCCTCAGTTCCCTGTTCCAGGCCAATGGGAGATGATGGGACAGTGCTTGGGTAGGAGCCATGCAGAGACCTCTGCCATTCTCTCTCTCTCCTGTGGGGATGCCCTAGCTACTTAGCAGCAGTCAG